GAGCAATTTAGCTCCCAGGGGCCCCGGGTGGCTCAGATGTCTTCATTTCTGAGTGTTGGAAAACGCAACACTGCCCATTTGCGTAATCTTCCAGAGTGAAGGTATGGGCTCCCCTAAAGGTGTCACATCACCACCTCTTTCAACAAGCGAGCAAATTGACTCAGCGACCCTACAGAAAACTATAAGTAGCCTTAACATGACTGTGTTTTGTTTCAGCTCTGGGGGTCCCCATAGATTTCCCTCTAGATTCATTCTAGCCAGGAATGCTGGTTCCAGGTGGCCCGTGCTGCCCCTGCCCACAGCAGGCTGGGCCACTGGCTTCCCTTTCCCTTGGCCAAGGTTTGCCATCTTTTCCCTGGCTAGAGATTCCTGAAGCACGCTGTGCATGGCCGGCTTGACGGAGGCCACATCTTGGAAAGAAGAGGTTGGGTCGAAAGCTGAGAAACCAGGAAAAGATCTAGAATTTGTACCATGCGATTTCACCTTTCTTGTTCAAGAGGAGTGGTTCTTAACCAGTTTTAGAGTTATCGAACCCTGGGAGGAGCCCCTCAGTGGCACCAACTGTTTAGTTAGTGCTCGCCTACTAGCTGAAAGGACAGTGGTTCAAACCCACCCAGAAGTGCCGTGGAAAACAGGCCGGCCTGGTGAATTGCTTCTGACAGATCATAGGCTTGAAACCGCTGTGGAGCCAGTCTCTTCCACACACGCGGGGACCGCTGTGGGGCCAGTCTCCTCTACACGTGGGGACACCAGGAGTTGGAATTGACTTAACAGAAACTAATAAGAGAGTACTTTGAGGCATTATAAAGCCATAGACCCTCTCCAGGAAAATACATATACTAAAAAAGTCTCATAAGCAATCTTAGGGGATCCATGGACCATCTGCATCGGTTCACACGCTGGGCTGCTCACTGAAAGATTTGTGGTTGAGTACATCCAGAGATACAATGACAGAAAGACCTGGTAGGCCACTTTTAAAACACCCTATGAGCCCAACTCTTCCCTGCCACGCTGGCTCCCCATGAGTCAGTCAACTGGATGACAATGGGTGGGGATACAAGCGTTTGAAAGCTCATTCAGAGGCTCCTGGGAGCCCCTGGCAACCCAAGGTTTGATGAATTGTCACAAGTGCTATCATCAGTGCCCGCCTGGATAGATTGGTTCCTCTGGGTGGAGCCTGTCTCAGGACCCTCACTTGTTTACAACCCTCTCCATTCGCCAACCTTTGTCTGATAACTCATTTCCTCCTGCATTTAAACTTCTTCAACTAGACCCCACTCACTTCCACCTCTCCTTGGCTAAAAGAATTCTTGCGGAGGCCGCCAGTGACTCCATCATCACTCAGCCCAAGGGCAGCTTCTCAGCCTTGAGGCTTCCAACTCTCACAAGCTCTCCCCTTTGCCAACTCTGCTTGGGGACCGTCCTCCTTGACTTTGGTCCCATTCGCTCCTCCTTTCTCTTCCAACCCCCAGAAGCCACTTTCTGGTTCCTCTTCCTCTCCTTGCCCCTTAAGTATCCCTCAAAACTCTAACATGGAAACTGTTTCTCCCTCTCGCTCTCATTCTGCTCCCTGAACAACAGCACCTACTCCCCTGATCTACTCCCCATTGTGGGCGACCGGCCTCTACAACTGAATGGGTCCAAGGGGACGGTTGTGTAATTGAAGGGTAAATTCAAGAGACATCAGACAAGACAAAGCATGCAGGGGCTCACCTCTTCCACGTGGACTGGAACCAGAAGGAGGGAGTATTGCATTCTCTCACCAGTTTACATAATCTCGGGCATGCGAGCCACAGTAAACACATGACAGGAAGGGGTCCGATTAGAGGGATACACATAACAGGAGGGGGACGAGCTAGGGGTGGACATGCAATAGGAAGGGGAGGCTTCTAGGGAAGCACACATGTGACAGGAAGGTACGTGTGTAACAAGAAGGGCAGATTCCAGAGTCAAGAAGGCAGCCTAACCTTGGTTGTCTCTGAGCGGGCTTCACCTTAAGTGTCTTTGAACTCCTCTCCAGGGAACAATCTAGGATCCTTATCAGAAGGGAGTGGGCCGTACTTAGGGTTGGATGATCTGACTGCTTTTGATGGCAGTTAACCTTTGGGCAGATAGCCTTCAAGCGGTTGACCTTCAAGCGTATAGGAATACTCCAGTCCTTGCGTTGCCCATAAGGAAACTCAGGCACCTCCGTGGCCTTTTTTTCCAGGTGGCCGGGAAGACAGCGGACATTCAGATGGAGCATGCCGACCAAAAACAGCTGACCATCTAGAACAAGAAGAGGGTCCTTGTGACCTCCTCCCTGGGGACAGACAACCAAAAAGTGGGTGAAGGGAGACGTCGGACAGGGCAAGATATGACAAAATACCCATTTATAAACTATCAAGGGCTCATGCGGGAGGGGGGAGCGGGGAGGGAGGGGAAAAATGAGGACCTAATGTCGGGGGTTTAAGTGGAGAGAAAATGTTTTGAGAATGATGTACAAATGCGCTTTACACAATTGATGTGTGTATGGATTGCGATAGCAGTTGTATGAGCCCCTAATAAAATGTTTTAAAAAAAAAGAAGAAGAAGGTCCTATTGGGGGAAACTGGCAAGGAGAAGCTCCCCGGTTACTACAAGAACATTGGTCTGGGCTTCAAGTGGCCCAAGGAGGCCATTGAGGGCACCTACATTTACAAGAAATGTCCCTTCACCGGTAACGTCTCCGTCGGAGGGCGAAGTTCTGTCTGGCGGGGGACCGACATGAAGGTGCAGGGGACCATTGTCATCTGCAGAGACTGCTTGCACTAGAGCCACAAGTACAGCCACTTTGAGAAGCACCACAAGAACATGTCTGTGCGCCTGTCCCCTGCTTCAGGGACGTCCAGATCGGCGACATCGTCACCTGTGGGCAAGTGCCGGCCCCTGAGCAAGACAGTGCCCTTCAGCATGCTCAAGGTCACCAAGGCTGCGGGCACCAAGAAGCAGTTCCAGAAGTTCTGAGCCGCCCGCCTCCCGGTGAAATGAAGTTAATTTTGGTTCCACTCAAGAAAACAAAAAGAGTATCATAATACTAAGCACTACAAAACTGGATTATTATGGGGGGACATCGGGGGAATAACTTTTACTTAGGAGAATGTCACTGGAACTTGTCTCCACTTATGGACGTGAAGGTCTCTCCCCATGGGAGCCAGCCTCCCAGACTCCTTAGATGCATTAGTGTTGAGAGTTTGTCTGCAAACACTCTCTTCCCCGTTCTGTTTCCCACACCCCACTGTAAGGATCCTCACACTGTCTCTCTACCTTAGACCTTCCTTCTGATTTCATGTTGGCATTTGAACACTTCCACTTGCATATTCTCAAAGACCTCACACTGAGCAGCCTCTGTCCTGGATAGCTTTTGTTTGCTCCTTCAGGTGCACTCTCTGCCCTGTTCTGGGCCGCACATCAATAGGCTTTCCGCTCTGCAGCTTCCCAGCTTCCTTCCTCTCTTTTTTCCCCACTTCTGTCCCCTCAATGAATGACATCCAAGACATAAGCCAAAAGCTGGGGCAACACCTAGACTTACCTGTTGGTCATCAGAGCCTTGGTGACTCATCTCACGAGTCCATCCCCTCCTCGCTGTTCCCAGGCTGCTCTGCTGAGGCCTTTTGTAATGTTCTGGATGGTCCATTTATTGCTCATGCTCCTAAATTCTCAACCCTTTCCAAACATTCTCAGGCCTGCAGACAGACAAGTCGTTTGCATGAATTGAGCATTAAATGCTTGGGGCTAATTGCTGGGAATTCAGAGATCAAGTAGAAAGGAGGATGTCAGACTGAGGCAGAGGTGGCAGTATGGACCCACCTAGGGACACAGAAGACAGCTGGTGTGTCTCCAGGGTGGCCACGACCGGATGAGAAGTCACTGCCATCTGCCCTCGAGTCGATGCTGCCTCATAGTGACCCCACTCCGCCCGCGGGTGTCCAAGCCTGGAACTGCTCATGGGCCTAGAAGCTCCTTCGAGCCGCTGCTGGTGATCTTGAACTGCCAACCATGAGGATTGCGCCTAGTGCTTACCCACCACACCCCCAGAGCTGGGGAAAGATATGAAAAAGGACACAAATATGGTCAATGAGGACAAAAGAGAAACACTTAACTACATAAAATTTGCAGTCCCCTTGCTGTGGGACCGCAGGGGCCGGGCGGTCTGTCATCTGTAGCCCAGAGCAGAGGCCACGTCGGTTGGAAAAATCCTAAGTTGATTCCTGGGAGCGCTTGCAGAAGGAAAACAGCCAGGTTTCTCCTCTGCGCGGTTTCAGCGTCCAGCCCCGACCCCACAAGGGAACACACAAAAAACAGGGTTTGGCAATGATTACAGGAGGAGATTAGCTGGTTGTTTTTTCCCCACAATGTCCTAAGATGCTACTGACATCCTAAGAAGGCAGGTTCTTCAGTGAGGATTAGGAAGTGATCTCTGCCTACATTTCTCCAGGGTCATTAGACCACCAGCCCATGTGACGGACCTTGTGGGCTGCCTACTTCCCAAGTTGGGACATCCCTGCTGATTAAGCTTAACAGGAGTTTTTACTGTCAGGGAGGGAACTGTTACCATTTGGACTTTGAACAAACTGAATCTTAAATTAGGTTATATTTCTAGTATCGATGTTCCCTATATCGAACTAAGGATTGAAAAGTGCTCACTGGGTTCCCTCATGGCACGGTGGCCCCGGAACAACGGACAATACTAGGCAAATACATAGATTCCCAGATTGTCAAAAACACCCTCAGACCGGAACTCAAGTTTAGGCGGGAAGCTAAAACTGAAGTACTGTACTTGGCTTACTAAAATGGCTGACGGACAGCCTAAATCAAAACCCCATTGTGTTACAAGCCCCCGCCTGCCTTTCTGAGAAGGTTACTTTGGCTTTTTCTCCATTCATCAGCATATGGCCCTGGGCCTCTGCTGGGTGGAACCAGGAGAAATGCCGTCTCTAGAAACTGGACAGGACAACCGTCAGACACTTCGGCCATTGACATGAACGAATTGCATGGCTTGCAAACCTGCTGGTTTCTCGAACGCTGCCTGTAATTTGACTAGACCGTTCAGAAAACCAACAGTTACTTTAAGGCTCGTTTGAGCTAAATAGATGAGTTTTTCATCGCAGTAATTCGAAAAGAAGGGCTCCCACATTCCGTGATCACAATGGATGCCCACTTTTGACTGGCATCTGGACGCCTCACAAAAATGCCAGGAAAGGAAAGTGGCTCCCAGGCATGATAGGAGATAGCATTCCCAAAGTAGCTAAGCAAAAGGAATTGCAGGGTTACCATTCAGCCCCTTCCTCCTCTGCACCATTGCAAACTGCTGGTCTTTTGTAGCTTTCTTTGCCTTCGTATCTGAGCTACCTTTCTTTCCGACAGACCGCCGTCTGACATGGCTTTTAAAACCCGTCTTAGTCGGTCCTAGATAGAATGGGAGGAAAATGTGGCATGAAATACGAAATGATAAACTTATGTTTTAAAAAAGAAGATCAGACTTACTGGTCTCATAGAGACTGGTAGTACCTCAGAAACGATGGCCCTTCACTCTTGACTGAAGGAAACTACATCCCTCACTGTTCCTGAGTCGAGTCCAACTACCAGAAACCCCCAGGAGAGAGGAAAACTGCCCATGTGGGTTTCTGAGGCTGTCAGTCTTAATGGAAGCCGAAAACCTCGTCTTTCTCCCACAGAGTGGCTGGTGGTTTTGAACTGTTGAACTAGCAGTTAGCAGCCCAACTTGACCCGGGGGCTCAACTTTCATCAAAACAATGTTGTTGTCCTTTGATGCCGTCAAATTGGTTCTGCCAACCCTGTGGCCAACAGAACAGAGCACTGCGCAGGCCTGTGCCACCCTCACCATCAGGCCTGCATTTGAGCCATGCTGCGGTCGCTGTGTGTGTGTTGGTCTGGGATGACTAGAAAAACAAATCCAGGGACACTCGTGTGTGTAAGACAGAATCTTCTATCCAAGGGTAATTGTATATGAAAAAAAAAATGTCCCGGCCCAGGCCAGATCAAGTCCATACGTTCAGTGTTAGCCCATAAGTCTGATATAAGTCCATATGTCCAATACTAGTCCATTAATTCTTCTATAGACTCATGCAGCACATGCAATGATGTCGAAAGCAGGAAGATCACGGGCCGGTGGGTGAAAAGTCTTGTGGAAGCATCTCGGCGCTGTCACGGCCCTCCACGTGGCTCCTCCAGCTCCAGGGCTCTGGCTCCTGTCAGCATGGCTTCATGTGGCTTGTCAAAAGAATGTGAAGCAGAGAGAGTGTGTGTCCTGTCTCCAGGGAGGAAGACAGGAGTTCCCAGAATCCTCAGGAGAAGGCCATGCCCACACAGAGGCCTCATTGGCTATGACCTGATTGACAGGCTAGACTCCACCCCGTCGCTCAAGTTGACAGGAGCTTATGTAACGGCCACACTGTGTTAACACATCACATTGGGGATTTTCGTCTTCCTCACTGACCCTCTAAGCATGATGTCCATCTCCAGGGACCGGCCACTCCTAATGACATGTCCAAAGTGCATGAAATGAAGTGTCACCACCCTTGCTTCTAAGAAGCGTTGACTGTACATCTCCCGAGACTGAGTTGTCGTCCCACTAGCACTCAGTGTGCTTCCCCAACATTCTAATTCAAATGCAGCAATTCTTCTCCCAAACCCAACGGAACTCACTGCCATCGAGTCAGTGCTGACCCCTAGTGACCCTGCAGGACAGGGTAGACCTGTCCCTGTGAGTTTCTGAGACTAACTGTTCAGTAGAAAGCCCTGTCTTTCTCCCGCAGAGTGGCTGGTGGTTTTGAACTGCTGGCCTTGTGGATTGCAACCCATGATGTAACCACTACACCACCAGGGCTCCTAATTCTTCTCAGTCATCCTTGTTCATTGTGTGGCATTTGCATTCATTTGAGGCTATGAAAATCCCATGATTTGGGTCAGCAGCTTAGACTTCCTCTTTCAATAGCATCAATTCTTGATGTTACTTCTTGGAACGGCTAAACATTGATCAATTCTTGTTGCCAATGTTCTTGTTAGCTGCTATCGAGTCAATTTCCACCTAGAGTGGCCCTAGGTACCCCAGACCCAAACACCGTCGTTCCTGGGCCAGCCTCACAGCCGGTGCTATAGTGGAGCCCCTTTTGGCGCCCACTATGCTACTTGACAGTCTTCCTCTTTTTCACCGACCTACTTCACCAAAGTGCCCGGCACAATGTCTCCCCATTCCCACGGCTTCGGAGCATCCTGCTTGTACTTCTGTCCACAAAGATTTATGTGTTCTTCCCACAGTCCCCGGGGCTCTCAAGGTTCTTTGCCAGCACCATCACTTAGGAGCATCGGTTCTTCTTCAGTCTTCTTTATCTGTTGTTGTGAAAATAGCATCGAGGCTTCAGCCATATCTGAGGTCCCCTGGCTTCCCCAGAGGCGTGACATGCCCCCCCACCCCTTCATCTTTCTTTACCTGTTCTGACACCAGCCCTTCCTCCCCCGATACTCTGCTTTTGAGTTTGACCATTTGTTGTAATGCCCACACGGACTCACAACATTCACGACGATGGAGGTTTATTAAGGAAGTTCACAAGGTACTGCTCCAAGTCAGGCTCTTTCAACATTCGGGATAGAGGCGTTGGCCCCAGCGGTGCCTCTTCTCAGCCCGCAGACAGTCTCTCTGGTGCACAGCCTCGCAGCAGTGCAGTTCCTTGCCTTCTTTCTGCCTCTGTGGCCCGGGAAGCCAGCCCACTTTCTGCCTCACAAGCTCACATTTTTGGTGCTGATCTTCGGGTCTCTCTCATGGCCTCCTCATCTTGGGCTCTGGTTTTGGCTCGGGTCCTTTGCTCTGCCCCATAGACTCTGCGCTACAGCCTCTGGTACCTCTGGTCCCGGAGATCTCAAATGTGCCCCACTGCTGATGGTCCTGAGATTTCTCTCTGTGCTCCGGCTTCTGAGATGGCTCTTCCACACAGAGCAATGGCTTT